TCTCCAAATACTTCTTCTCTCATTCTTCTCTTTCTTGTTTGTTATTCTTCTTCTCTTTTGTTGTTCTTGATAATTACTTGTTATTATCATCATTATCATATTGTGGGTTTGTTCATCAATCTTGATATCAAGATTGAAGGGAATTCTTCATAGGGTGTGAGGTGAATTTCCAACATATATCATTTTACAATACCAATAAATCATTAATAGCATTTTACTTTTCAATTTTTTAATTCATCTTTTTTATTTAATTAATAAATAATCATTTTAAAAAATATAATATTTTTTCTTTTTCATACAATAATAATTTTATTTTTTAAAAATATTTATGAAAATAACAAAACAAGTTATAATAAAGATGTAGGGAATAATGTTTTTATTTTCACCAACATTTCATCTTTTTTTAATACTAGTTTAGCAATAATGGAGAAAGGTTCATTAAATGAAGCTTGTGAAAACTCATCACTAGCTTCTTTGGGCTTGTTAATGGTGTTCTAGATAAGATGGTATACTAATACTTTTCAGATACATTGATTACTACACCATTGACTCTTCCATTCAATCATTGTCATTTGTTAAACTCATGTCACACTAACCGATAGATTTGAAAACACAAACTTAATTACTTTCACAGAATATGCCACAATTTACCATCACCTTCTATGAACTCTTGTTTGGTTGCATGAATGTGAAATGGGGATCATTGGTAGTTCCAAATCCCAACATTCTTGCATGATAGTTCCACTTCATTCTTTACTACTCATTTCATCGCCAATTAAAATCAGAATAATTTCCTTTGTTCAATCAACTAAACTTCTATATTATATGAAGCTTAACCCTGATATCTAAAGTTGAGATTAATGTTTAATACATGCTAGACACCATGGTTTTTACATATTAGTTAACATACTTTTTAAATTGTTCATCTGTGACTATATCAATTCCTAATAAAAAAGGGTTATAAATACACTCTTTCGTTCTAAATAACAAGTTAAATGTGAGTTTGAGTCTCATGGTAGTTATAAATGTGGAGACTTGACTATTTATAAGTGGGAAAATTCAAATATCTATCACCTTAAAGTTTTGGATGAATATGTGATGTTTCTCTCACTTGTGTGTTGCTCTTACCTCAATATTGATGCTCCTCCTCATGACCTAACAAATGGTATCATGAATCTTTGGTTCGAGTAAATGGATCAGTTTACTTGTATCGAAATGCTCAAGAAGAGGTGTTCTGTTGAAATTGAAACGCTCAGGAAGAGGTGTATAGAGATGTCCAAGAAAGAGGTGTCAACGGCGATACAAGTGTATGTGGACAAAAGAGTTTCCATTTGAGGGGGAGAATTGTGGACTCACACTTGAAGGAGAGTGTTGAGAATAATAAGTCAACTGTGAGTTGGAGTCCCATATTGGTTATAAATGTGGAGACTTGAGCATTTATAAGTGGGAGAACCCACACACCTATCACTTTAAGATTTTGGGGGAATATGTGGTGTCTCTTTCACTTGTTTATTACTCTTACCCCAATATTGATGTTCTTCTTCACGATCCAACAAATAGTATCATGAGCATTTGGTTAGAGTAAAGGGATTGGTTTGGTTTACTTGTACCGAAATGCTCAAGAAGAGGTATATCAAAATGCCCAAGAAAGAGGTGTCAAACACAATAAGTGGGAGAACCCACACACCTATCACCTTAAGTGTTGTGAATTGATGTCGTGAAGAACAAACCAAAATATGAGAAAAATATTGAGTTTCTTGAACAAACACAATAAACCCTATTAGGTTTTACGAAAGAAAGAGAGAAGAAGGAAGAAGAATAAGGATTGCTTAAAATTGTTTTACTGTTCACTTTCTACCAAGTTAACTTAGCCTACAAGCTAACTTAATAATTGGGCTTACAAGTAAGGCTCAATTCGACACGCTAACTTAAATTTAAGGTAACATATTTTGGCAGCATGCTTGAATAGACTTTGACTCCAACATGCACAACTCTTGTCGAACCATGAAACTATCCTTGTCGACACTAGAGTTCGATCCAAATACTACAAATCCTCACCTTAGAACAATCCCAAGAATTCTAGAGACATCTCCTAAATCCTTCATGTCGAACTCCTTATCGAGTTCAACCTTCACCTTTATAACATCTTCGACATTGTTGCTTGCTATGAGGATGTCATCCACAAAAAGCAACAAAATAACAAATAAATTTTCAGTTCGAAATCTGAAGTAAACACAGTGGTCGAACTAGCTCTTAGCGAAACCAATGTGTGCCATGAACTTGTCGAATTTCCTGTTTCATTGTCTCTGAGATTGTTTCAGGGCATACAAAGACCTATTCAACTTGCACACATAATCTTCCTTTCCCTTTTCTGCATACAATTCAGGTTGTCTCATCGAAATTGTTTCATCTAAATCACCATACAGGAAGGTTGTCTTCACATCCATCTGTTCAAGTTCTAGGTCAAACTTCGCCATCATGGCTAACGACATTCTAATAGATCTATAATTTACAACAGGTGAGAATATATCATTAAAGTCGATACCTTCTTTCTGAATGAACACCCTAGCAACCAACCTAGCCTTAAAACGCTTCGACATCACTTCTTTGATTCCTTCCTTAACCTTGAAGATCCACTTATAGCTGACAAACATGATCCCTGCAGATTTCTCGATCAGCTCCTAAGTGTTATTATCATGAAGAGATTTCATCTCATCATCCATGACTTTCAACCACTCAGTCTTATCTCGACCCCGCATAACTTTCTTTTAATCTCTAGATTCTTCGTTTTGAGTTTATAATATTCATTCACTAATTTCAAAGATTTAATTTTAAAAATCTTCTTGCGGTCACCTTTTATGAGCAAAGTCATCTCTATTATACTTTTTGCAAATACATATTTATTATTCTTTTCTTTTTCAATTCTTTTAATTTACTTTTATCATTCAATTAATAAATAACAATTTTATAAAACATTTCATAATTTTTCTTTTTAATACAACACGAAACAACTTAAAATAAAAAATAAAAAAAAAGTAGGGAATAAAATATTGTGAAAACTCACACAATCAGCTTCTTTTTGCTTGTTAATTGTGTTCAAGATAAGATAGTATTTTCTAAAATATGGAGTACACTATAATCTCATATTAAATCACAACAAAGCTTCTCAACTTTATTAGACACTAATTACATGGACACCAAAAAATGTTAGTATTAGTATGAAAATTAGGATAAATGATTAAAGGTTTTCTCACTAAGATCTTACGAGTAAACATTTTAAAGAATCGGTAATTAGTAGTTACAATAAGTTGTTGCAGTGTTAATTTAGGATTGTTACGAAAGTCAGATCATACACCTTCCCTAGCGTTTTACTCATATATTTTCAAATCACTTAGTCAAATTTTCCTTTTTACTTGAAAAGATTCTTATAATTACGCAAAACCATTTGAAAACCTCAATTACTATTTTTCAATTGAATTATTCTATAACTTGTGTTTCCTCTGCAGTCTTCGAGATCGATATTCGGAGAATTCTCTCTTATTACTTCATTGGCAAAATAATTCACTTGCTATTTTTTCGATCAAGTTTTTGGCGCCGTTGCCGGGGACATTATACGTTTCTTAAATATTTTCTTTAAAAGTATGATAGAGAAAGAAAGAAAAGATTTTAAAATAAAATAAAATAAAAAAGAAGAATTAAGTGGAAAAAAATAGAAGAATTTAGGTGGAAATTTTAGAAGGTTAGTTTTTATTTATAATACAAATTTTATCTAATTTGATAAATTCAAAATTTTAGTAAAAGAGAGTTTTAGAAGATTTACATATATTTTATAAATATATTTTATTTTATTATAATATCTTGAAAATTAAATATACAATAATAATAAACATTCTTTTATCATTTATACAAAATTGTTTTTTCAAAATATGTCAAATATTTTTGTATATTTAATTAAAAATTCAATTTCGCAATATTTCTTTTCTCATCTCCAAACTCAATAAATAAATAAATATAAAAAAAAAATTTAAAAAAATAAATAAAAAAAAAACCTAAATCTTTAACTACTACATACTCCACAATAACTTGGATCTCCACCATTGACTCTGGCATTCAATCATTGTCATTTCTTAGATTCATATCACAGTAACCGATATATTTGAAACCACTTAATTGCTTTCACAGAATATGCCACAATTTACTTGCAGCTTCTATTTATTGTTCTTTTGTTTCAATTTCAACCAATAATAAGAGCCATGTTGTGTCTATGTATACTGTTGCGCATGTCACATGCATATGTTAAATTCAGAACAGTGACACTCTTCTCCTGGTTACTTCATTCATGCCACATAACCTACTAATTTGGAGGGGAAAACATGTGAGAAAGTAAATCAAGAGAGATAGAAAGAAAGTTAGAGAAAGGTAAAGAAATGAAAGTTAGAGAATCCAAACCATTTTCTTCTCCAACAACCACCTAATTTGGAGACTTTCATTTCCTCAATGTAGTATGTGATAGAATATGTTTTTACTATAGATGAATAAATGAAAGCAACTTCAATTGAAACTTTCTTCTCAAAAGTAGTTTTTGAACATAATGTGATTTTTAACTTTATCAAAGGAACTCTTGTTTGGTTGCATCAATGTGAAATCACAACCACTTCCTTTGTTTGATCAAGTAAACTCCTAATATCGTCTCTTTCAAATGTGGTTTGAGATACAAGTAAACTCCTGATATCGTCTCCTACAAGCGTGTATATAGAAAATTATTGTTGGAAGGGGAGAATTCACTTTGTATACTCAACAAGTTCATCAACCATGATTAGTGTATGTTATACAGCAATGGACACTTCATACTTACATAATAGAAGGGCCCAATTGACTAGATTGTGACTTTGGCAAAGCTAAGACAACTCAACTCAATTACATGGCAAATATAAATAAATTTCCATCATTCTTCTTCACATTTAAACTAAACTAACACACTCCTTCTACACAAGAAAGAAATGGAAATATCTCTTCCTTTGATGATGCTTACCACCATGGTTATTATGGCTATGCCACTATCATTTGTGGTAGAAGGGAACCAACTTTCTTACAACTACTACAAGAATTCATGTCCAAACTTGGAAAGTTTGATCAAGAAAGAATTGATGAGGTTATTCTTGACGGATATTACTGCACCATCAGCATTTCTCAGACTCATGTTTCATGATTGCCAAGTTCAGGTAATAATTTAGATAGAAACACTAATTGCTTTTACTTGATCAACACTCAACATTTTTAGATAAATATTCCAACATACTTGTTTTTATGTCATTTAAGGTTTTTGAGCCCTCATGGCATGTTTCGTTAATTTTCATGCAGGGATGTGATGCCTCAATTTTGTTGGACACAAACTATGCTACTGACGGCTCTGAAATGACATCTTCGAAAAACTTTGGAATCAGACATAGGGAAACAATCGGTTACATAAAATCAATATTAGAAGAAGAATGTCCAGGACAGGTGTCTTGTGCTGATATTCTTATATTAGCTGCTAAGGTATCAGTATCAGTCTCTGGAGGACCGCTTATTCAGGTTCCACTTGGAAGAAAAGATTCGACAACATCTAACCCTAAAGAGGCTGATGTTAAGCTTCCTTCACCAACAATAACAGTTGATGAATTTATATCCATTTTCAAATCTAAAGGAATGAGCATTCAAGAATCTGTTTCCATTTTAGGTAATCCGTATAGGCGTATACCAAACATAAATAAGTTGAACAATGTTTTGATGTTTACTTTAAAAATTGTTATCTAAGACCAAGAAAAGTTTTTGATCTGTTACTATTATTACTATTGGCAGGTGCACATACACTAGGAGTTGGACACTGCTTAAACATTGTTGGATCATTGTATAATAAAGATATAAGAGACAATATGGATTTGAAGTTTAAAACCTTACTAACACTAGCATGCCCAACAGAGATTCCTCTGACAAACCTGACAGTTGTACCTATTGACATAACCCCCATAATATTTGACAATCAATATTACCGAGACATTCTGAGGGGGAAACCTTTGTTTGGTATTGACTCGAGGATTACTAGAGATCCGCGAACTGCACCCTTTGTCATGAGGTTTGCTATGGATCAGAGATACTTTTTTGAGGCTTTCTCATCTGCATTTGTTAAGCTTTCTTCTGCCAATGTTGTCACAAATATGCAGGGTGAAGTCAGGAGAAAATGCAACCAGGTAAACTGACGGAGAGAAAATGTTATGCAATTATCCTCTCTATTTGTAAAAAGATACAACACAAGTACAAGGCTTATCCAATTCATCTCTTGATGATATATTCACCTATCGGATACTTCATTATCATCTTACAAGTTTAAATTGTATGAATTATGAAATTTCATTTGGTTTTGATAAATTATTGTATGACAGAAAATATAAATAATCAGTATGATATAGAAAAGATTGTACCCAAAAAAATATTAAACATAAAATTTCATGACAGGCCCGCTCATGAAGATATTGTCTTTCTAACTCCACCATCTAGCTGTTATAAGAAAGAAAAACCTTGAACTTTTAACAAGGCTCATCCGATTCTTGGGGAGGGGTCCACAAAATCTGTAACATGTGTAAAATGCAAGGGATGGAGCACTTTCTTTTGAGAATTGCTTTTTCCACCACCTGTTCTAGCCAATCACACCACCGTCCTATCCAAAATACCCCATGCAAATTACTATCCTTTTTGAAAAATTAAAAACAGTACAAAACGGTTAACCCTACCCTTTCTTACTTCCACAGCATTCGTCGAATAAAATGCTTGTAAAACGGCAAAATCCAAAAAAGATGAGGGGAAATATTTAAGACTAAATCATATCGATTTCAACAATCATGAATGGATATTGTATCATTCATATACAGTTCAAATTTCAAATTATCTGAAGCATGGTAGAATTTATATAGGTATATATTATTATTCAAAAAGTACACCGGATTTTGGGTGGAGAACAACAAACAAATATTTCCCGCTCAAGTAACTGACCTTAGTTTTAGTCTGGCCAAACTTGATAGCAGGAGATGAATATTGTGCAGCCCTTTTTACCGGATTCCCACTCAACAACAAATTGAGTAAGGACAATTTGAACCAAAGCTCTGGTCATTTATTTTAACATCCCAACACATGCAACTAGGACTACCAAGTCTGAAGTATACATGTTGTTACCATGAATCACTTCGTAAACCTTCAACTTATGAGATCACTTTATGCATCATGCATCCATGTGATGTGACTAGTAAACCTAGCATGCTTATGTTATGGGAATGAGGAGGTTATATTTTGAAAAGTATATCTATGTATTATATTATGTTCAGAAAAATAAATTATTATATAATTTATATTTATTTAACAGATATGAGTTGTATTTATGAGTTTATCTTATAGAATTAATATAAAAAGTGGCATGTTTCTCACAGTAAGACCATTTTTCCATATCTTACGATATTTTGCAATATTATCTTTGAACACGCTAAAATTATGCAAAATACCCATTTGTAACCATCACATATTTCTGCCTGGCACACCTATAGCCATTTATAGCAAATGCCCATACCGTGATCATGGATTTGGTCAACAATGCCTCAAACTGAAACATCCAGAATTCACTTGGATGTTGTCTCCTTCATGAGGTTAACTCTTAAATCATCTTAGACCCCTTGATGCAAATACATAAAGTTCATTGAAACATAATACTAACATGACTAGAACCATTCCAAATTTTACAGCAATATAAAAACAAAATTATTACATTTTACAAGAAGATCCAGAGTATATTGGTTACACATGTAGAGCATTTTAATGATGAAAACAGACCAGAAAATTATGTTGCTTCTCTACTTCTAATATTAACAGCCATTTGAGGTGAATAATTGGCTAGCTGTCACTTACCGTGCAACAAGCACGATCCTCCAGCCAATGCTACCATCTTTGGATACACTTTGGTCATTCGGTGGATACAGGCCAGTTATGAAGTTAATCAGCACAACCAAAATTTACATTTTGATTGTCGCTTCCAGTAGAAATGCACACGGTATAAAGTAGCTATTGTACACCAACCTTGATGTTTTTACTATCCAGAACAACATTCAAAATTTTGCCAGGAACGTAAATTCTTTTCCTGATAGATTGACCATCCAAATACTTGGATAGCTTTTCATCCCTAGATGCTAATGCAAAAGCATCCTCCTCTGTACATGTTTCTTCAACCTGGATGGTACCTCTGGTCTTGCCATTAATCTGAACTGGGAGGACTATGATTGAGTCCTTCAGATAAGCAGGATTTGCCTGCAGTTAGAATATATAATGGATATGACGTTGCTGGTGTATTGATATGACACTCAGTCCACTTAACTAAAATTTAAAAATCAACCTGGAAAACATCCCTCTTTAAAGAATTCAAAGTTGCGTCACTAAAATATCATCCCGGGATGGACCCTTTTCACAGCCTTCTTCATCCACAACCACAATATAGGTATTTAAACGTGTTTGTGTAAATGACTTGGATTTTTTATATTAGCACAATTCAATGATTCCAAAGGAAACCTCGGCTACAAGACCATTAGTTTACTGTCGAAGTTGACAACACTATAAAGGGATGAAATATTGGCTTTTTTTTTAAACGGAATATTCCTGAAATTATGGTTTTTTTTGTCACACGGATGAAAGTACGAAAAACATTTCCAACTTGTGTTTAACTTCTGAATTATTTACCTTAAAAGTATTGTTAGAATATTGAAAATTAGTAAAATACTGTATCTTATAATTATCCCAATTGTATATAGTAAATTAGTATCTTAAATTATCATTTAAATTTTTTTTTATATTTCCTTGTTTATTATGATTTGTTCCCTTGTTTATTTAAGACTACAAGTCTATTATTAGCATATATAAAAATCAGTGCTTTGACCCAAGAGCACTTGGATGAGATGGCGGGGTCTCTTCCTGCTTAACCAAAGGTCCTGGGTTTGAATCCAACCCTGGGCACGCAGCAGTGTTAAATCTCTTGGGGAGAGTTTGCCACATATTATGGTCCTACAAGACTTGAGGGATTAGTCTTTGCAGTTGCGCGCAGAGGATATCCGGTTTATACCAACAAAAAAATCAGTGCTTTGTTTGTTGTAATAACATCCAAGATATAATCCACATCAATATCAATATTTTTGTGCTATTGTAATTTAGAGTATCTTAGATCATCTTTTATGATTGCTGTCTATATTTCCTTATCTCCGAAGACTTATTTCCTTATTGGTAATAAAAAATGTTATATTTGTAAAGATTTTACACACCTATACTTTTGAAATGACATTCTACATTATACTTTTGAAATGACATTATACATACCACTCACACCTATAGGGGACTTTTCTTTCCCACTGTATATCTGAAAGACTAACCTTTAACAAGCATGAACACAACAAGGAGTCATTTGTGGCTTAGTGGCGTGGCACAAGACATATCACACAGCCACAAGTAATAGCAAGTTGCTGGATCAGAATCCTCTCATTTTGTGAATCTTGGTCCTACATGTGTGTCACATCACCTTCCCACATAACTCACTGTTTCAGATTCCCCCTCCCAATTTTCTCTACCATTCATTTAAGTTACTTCTCTAACCCCCACCAAATATTTGTTTCACGTTAGTGGAGAATTTAAGATAGTATGCTAGCAATAAAAAAAATTGAAGATCAGTAAACGCGTAACTTGACAGGCCATGAAAGACTAGGCATGTCTGATATGGACCCAAATTCATACCTTAGGAAAAGGTTCATAGGCTAATGATTTGGTGTGACCTAGGCGAGACCATAGCTCTTCAGCCATGTGTGGCGCATATGGTGATAGCAGCAAAACAAAAGCCTCGACCACTGATCTTGGATGTTTATCCCACTGAAAATATATGCCAAAAAAAAATATACAGATCATACTGAGTTTCTATAACAGGGAATGAAGGAATTTACTGACTATAAAGAGAAGGAAATCAGTAAGGGAGAGGGACAGAGCAAAAAAGTAACACTTTTACTATAAAAAATAAGAAACAAACACAACATTTTCTTTAGTAAGAACAATACACTTCATAAAGGTATGTCATGCATTACAATAAAGGATGTATATGAGATGTGTATTTTCCTTTTGCTTCTTATTGTATGCATCCAAACATAAATAGATTAAAAAAAACTTCATGTAACTCAAATAACTTTTTATCATCTATAATATACAGTTTTTCTGATTCAGTCCCTAAAGTTTTTTTTGGTTTTAAAGCCTCAAACATAGGAAAATTGCTTTCGGTCATTGTTGTTTTTGTTTTAGACTATGTAATATTGTCTGAGTTGGGATCCTTTTGATCATAGTGGCTTGTAAGTAGATTTATCTTGTATTTTGTACAGCATTTACAAGAACGATTTCACAACATGAACCCATTACCTTTTCTCAAATGGCGAGAACTCCAATAGTTGTGCTAACTGCCAAAGCCTTCGTAGGATATTTAAAATTTAAAACAGTGGAAATAGAAACAGATAAAATACCTTATATGCTGCATTAAGGAACTCCATCATTGCAGAAATTCCAGTGTTGAACCGTGTGCCTTCAATTTCCTCTGTTACCTGAATACTGAGAGTAAACTCTTAGCTCAGCTGTCCCAAATCGGCGTGTCAAATCCATAAAATAGACACAGCTAAATTATGATTAGAAATTGAGATATTGACCTTAGCAATGCATTTATGAAGAAAACGAAGTTGTTCTATAGTAGGCTCCTCATCAACTGATACAGTTCTATCTTTAAATGTGCCATCGGACAAAGGTAAGCCAACAATCAGCCTCCAAGTTCTACCTAGAAACCGATATACTCCCTCAATACCGCCAGTACTCCATGTTTTTGAGTCCCTGAGAGCATAAAAGGAAAAATCATTGAGAAAAGGGAGGTGAGGTGAAAGTCCATGTTAGAACAAGATCCACAGCTTGGCAGAGCCCCCTCCCCACACCATCATAAAAAAATAAATGAAAAAAGGGCAGAGTAAAATTCAAAAATTGTTTTGATTAAGGACCAATCTACACAAGATGCCACAACTAATATAGGGTTCAAAGTCAAACACACCTTAGTGGTCCCATGAACATTTCATATAAACGAAGAGAATCGGCACCATACTCAGAAATGACATCATCGGGATTAACAACATTTCCCCTGCTTTTACTCATTTTATGA